ACACACACACACACACACACACACACACACACACACACACACACACACACACACACACACAGAAATACATGTGTGAAGGCAAGCACTCGCATGAGACCACAGGTGTGCTTGTCACATCAAAGATGTCAGCTCATCGTCACTGAGACAGCCTGTGGTGTGTGGCACAGCTGTCATATTATTTTCTATCTGTGAGCAACTGAGCTCCTTACGTTCGTCTCACCATAAATCATCCTGTCCAACAGCATCTATCTTCTAGGCGTGTCTTTCTCATGAAGCGTCCATTTCTCAGCTTACCACAGCTGCACACCGCAAACCCTCAGAGTTTCTTATCGGAGATGTCTTGAAAGAATCAATCTCATCTGCCTGAGCAACGAGTCACATCTCCATGGTGGTTAAAGTCTGCCTGAAAACTCACACACCAAATGTGTTCACTAACTCTTATACTATGAGAAGGATGTAAACAATAAATGACAGAGTTTATGTGTGTACAGTACATAGGATTGTTTTTAAGGATGGACATATTTTTGCATTTTATTAGTTATTGAGAAAATGACACGACTTCTCACTTATCCTCGTAATTACCTCAGTAAAAATGTTCCTAAAGAGTCAAGGGTTTTAATTTCAAGTCAGTCTCCACCAGCATGATGATCATTTATAAAAAATCATGGTGTCATTTAGAGTTAGACGATGAAGGAGGACATGTTTCAGCGTGTGCCTACCCTGTGATTGACAATTTGCTACCCTGGTGTTACTACAACTATCAGAGTATAAGTGTTAGATAGTATTAAAACATGTAGTTCTTTTTCCCTGTAAGAAATATTTGTTTTAAATATGTTTTTCCTTAACCACACTCGCTAATATCACAGCTAGCGTGAATTGCGGATGCACACTGCTAATCAAGATGAGCTAGCTAGCTAGTTAGCATTAGTGTTAGCTGGTACCTAACCACGCTGGGCCTCGATCCTCCCAAGCGTCACCCATATATGTTTTTTGTTGCTGCAATAAAGAAAAACAAGATGAAGATAGCCAAATCGTCATACTCAAGGTTCCTAAACAACATTTTACAAAAATAATGGCTGACGTCAGGGGACCTAGAGTACATCCACTTTTAGATTTGGGACTTTTGAAACAAGGTCGCAGTTATTAGAAAACCCCATTGCTTGATCGTTTTCAAAGAAACAACTACCTACCAAAGCACTAGTCTTTCAAGTATCCTGAGAGACCACATCACTGTTTGTTCAAAGATTCACTGTGTTAAGTTTTTTTATTTGTAGAGGGTTTAAATATGAAATTCAATCTCAAGCTCTAACTATGCTCCTCTTGTGTGAAGAGGTTTAATTCCTGGTCATTAGTGTCTGTTTGATTAATATCATAATGGACGATAACCCCCCCTCTTCTCTATATCTGATGACCATCCATTACCCCACATATCACCACCTCTTCCCATCTGCGCTTCTATCTCCATTAGTGAAAACATATGAATCATCCTCCGGCCTCTGATGATGATGCTGCTAATTTTGGCCCCGAACTGAGACTACAGTCCTGACAAAGATTTAGTGTTCAAAGTGAATGTGCTACTCTGCCACTGAGACGGGAGAGGTGGAGACCGGCTGTTTGGAGTCCAAAACAGACTCCCTTCTCCATTTAATCTTCATCACTCTACTACTTTAACCTCTGTTTTCCCATTAGCTCGTCTGTCCACCCACTGACTCCCTGATTAAGATGCTGGCTGGCTTCACTGCCCAAGGACTTGCTTCGTCAAATCTGAAGCTCTGGGTGTTTCTGGGTGACAGAAGTGAATTGTTTCGAGTGGATGGAAGAGTCTTAACATGATGCAGTGCTTTCTAGATGGTAAGCTCAGCTGTGGATAAACTTCACTAAAATTGACAAAATTATCATTCGATAATCATTATTATCGTCACTTCAGAAGAGGCAAATTACAAAAACATCAAAACTGTCTATGCTGTCTCAGCGATGTAGCTTCATTCCTAACACCTATTAATATAATGTCATCTCTTTTCACATTTATAGAGGTCAAAGACTGATGGGAAACCAGTAGGGACAATGAGGCCTAACATTATTTATGAATTACTTGGATTTGTTGGCATTTATCCACACATATTGACAGTTGTTGTCAATATTTCACAGCCATATACAACAAGACTTCCTTGTGTTTTACTCAATCAATTCAATTTACATGTTCCGGACCCAGATAAGCAGCGGAACAGTTATGGATGGATTAACCAATTAACAACTGATTAATCAATTTTGGTTCATTTGATGTGTTGCTGATTGACACTTGCCCGTTAGGACAGTGGGCTGCAGAAGCAACAGTGCTTGCTACAGGTCTGAAAGTGCTGACTGAAAACCCTTATAAAATGATTCTCACTTGTAGATTTAATGTGTATAAGGTCTCTTGACAGCCCTTGACCTTATACACACAAAATGTACATCTTGCGTTAAAGTCTAGGGCTGAAGAGTGAAAATACTTGAATGAAAT